AATGGATATTATTCATAATCCACCACAACCTACATCTGGACATGCAATGTGGATTTTTCCCAGTCTGTTCACAGGCTATATTTCTAATACATTCCATCAGGTTCCTGCTCCATATCTCCGTGGTCCCTTCTGGCCAGTCTCTGTTTTGCTCTTTATGCTTCAGCAACATCAAACTGTCATGCCCACTTAATGCCAGTCTTTGGCTCTATGTCTTGGTTTAAGCCATTTCCTCTCTTTGGAATGCTCTTTTCCATTTCTTCACACAAAGGGAATTGCGCATCCTTTAGAAAGCAGCATGACTGTTACCTCCTTGGGCAAAATTTCCTGGATCCATTTCCCTACACTGGATTAGGTGCTATTCCTCAGAGCTCCCGTTATACCTGTGACAGAGCTCACAGCTGGTTCATATGGCACTTCCAGAAAGCCTGGCATTCTGGATGCAGACTCTAATGGTCCTCTTGGCCAAGTACCTTTGTGCAGGGTGCAACCTGTACAACCACACAGAGTGGCCATGCTTTTGGGTACATAGTAGTCATTCAGTAAACGTTTCTTGAATAAATTAACTTTAGAGTTTTCCAGAGCAATCTCACAATTTAATTCCTCATGAACCATGACATCCTGAACTGAACAAACCAGTCTGTGCAGGTAAAGGTCCTAGTAGGCAGAGTCTCCTTAGTAATGGGGCCACCACAAGGTTCTAGGACCACTTTTACTTGTTCCTCAATGGCATACTTACCACTCTACATATCACTATTTCTTGTATATGCCCACAAGCCTAACCTTCACCATCATTTCTATCTATGCATTTGCTTTTCCTGCTGGAGAAGCTTCTCTGCGTATTCCTGTCCCCATTCCCAATTTCTCAAGGCCTCATTTTCTTCTGGTCCTTTCTTCTATGGTGTCGGTGTTATTGCCAGGAACTAGGAGAGACTCTGCTCCTCAATCTGGGCCACTAATTAATCATTAGATTCTAAATGAAGTGCTGCATGGGTTTGTTTGTTTTGGTTTGGTTTTGGTTGATCCTGGGGCTGCATCACATTACTCCAAGGCAGTGGGACAACTGCCTGGGGCTGCTGTTACCTGTGTATTTTGCTCATTGTTTCGTTCATTATCCCCAGGATATGTGGGCCCTGTAGCTGAGCAGCCTATGAGCACAGGAGTTCTGATTCTTGGATGCAGCCTTTCTGAGAGCTTCCTCTGCACTGGAGAACTCTAAATACATACATATTTAATTTCCTTTCCACCCAAACCACTTATACGGTCTGCTTGCCTCCCCCCTTTCTTTTCTGGTCATGCTGGTATTGCCCTGGGTTTTAGCCAGCTTGGTAAATAGAGGAAATTGGATGCATTTCCAGCCTCCCTGATGTCATGGTTTGGGGCAGTCGGCAACTGTGGGAGGTTTCAGTTAATCCTAGCAATTGGTTAGTTTGCCGTTCTTCTCTGAGAAGCTTCTCTGTTCCTTGCCATGTCTTACATAAGTCCATATGGTTCCTTTTTTGACTTGCCCTTTTCTTTTAATGATGTAAGAAGCCCAAACATTGGCAGTGACTATGTTTTGTTACTGGAGTGCTGGTGTTGATTGGATCCTGATTCCTGTTTAGTTTTTCTAGGAGATACAGGACGGTGGGAGTGTAGCGGCGATAGTGGCAAGGAGGCACCTGGAGGCTGAAGGATGTGCAGTTCTTTAATTAAGTTTAGGCCTCTGTGTCTGTCAGACATTCTCACATCATTGCTTTTGACATTCTTTTGCACAACTTATTCAAGTGAGTTCCTGCTCCCTGGCTGGGAACCTGGTTTTTTGGCTCTGACACCAGAAATCCTTGGGCTTTCAATGGGGCCTTTCTAATTAGGTTAGAGGAGGGCCAAGGGAGATGGCATCCAGCTGAGCAAGTGATGGCATTACCTCCCAGTTAGCCTCCCTCTGAGCTTGATTTAGGAGCTGTGTTTGGAGAGCCTGAATGGCTTGGCTCTCCCTTCATTCTGCATTTCTTTGCTGGAAGAAATATATTTAATTGTAGTAAGTAATACATGAACCCACTTCTGCGGAGTAAATATTGTGCTTCATCCTCTTCTCCAGCACACTGCTATCCGTGGAGGCTTCATGGGTTTCCTTCAAGGCCTTTTTGGATGCATGCACACTTGTTACTATATAAATAAGTATACAGATATATAGTTTTGTTTAACGTATCCTCATATATATTTATTGTTCAAAATATTACAGATGTCCCCTTTTCTCCCCATTGACCCCTTCCACCCCGCCCCCACCCCCTGCCCCAGGCCTTCACCACACTATTGTCTGTGTCCATGGGTTACGCATATATGCATGTAAATTCTTTCGTCAGCCTGTCCCATGCTTCTATGTCACTGAATCTGTTTTGTTCATCAGTTTACTGTGCTCTTTAGATTCCACATATAATCGAGATCATGTGAAATTTGTTTTTTTCTGCCTGTCTTATTTCTTGTAGCATAATATTCTCCAGGTCCATCCATGCTGTCTGCTCTGTGGAAGGAAGGATCAGGAGTTGAGTGTTGTTTTAGCACTCATTATGAAAAATCCTAATTGTGTTTCATAGTGACAAGTCCTTGCAATATTAAGGTTCCATGTATAATATCAAAACACCTTAAAACTATACAAGAGTTTACATATGTTCCATAAAAGACTAGTGCTGACAAGTACAAATTCTGAGGAAGCTGGCAAAGACTGAGCTTTATTATTTCCATTATTTACGAATGGGTAGAACATTCAGATTGTCCATGATTCTAGAATATCTTCTGTTTCAGGCATCACTTTCCAAATTAGTGGAAAATGTTTCAAACTCTGTAGAGAAAATCATTCACCAATGGCAGGAGTTCTCTTTAATGGGTCACGATTAAGACTTGAAGTGAAAAGAATTTATTGGCATTGCTATTGCAGGGTTAAAATGTTGTTTTCCTGCCTATATCTCTGAAGAGAGACTGATGGGTAAAATTCTTTTTTGAAGCTGACTTTTAAAATTACATTTATTCTACTTGTTTGTGTAATATCTCCTTGCATACAATTCTTCATTAATATATCCAGGTAAATGGGTTCACGGGACATTAATAAGTGGCATATTTCCTATATCCTTTCATCGGAAACCCTAGAAATAGAAGATGTGTACTTTTACTACAAACTTATAGTTAGAAGTTTAGTCAAAATGCTATGTAGTCACATGTATTAGTCAGAATAAGCTAAATTATACTACAGTAACAAATACCTCCTAAATATCAGNCCCACCCCACCTTTCCTCTGAGGTTCATCAATCTGTCCCGTGCTTCTATGTCACTGAATCTGTTTTGTTCATCAGATTATTATGTTCTTTAGATTCCACATATAAGCGAGATCACGTGATATTTGTCTTTCTCTGCCTGGCTTATTTCGCTTAGATTAATTTTCTCCAGGTCCATCCATACTGTCCCAAAGGGTATGAGATATATTTTAAGAAACTCGATTTTTTTCACTTGACTTATATGTATTGACAATCTTTATATGTCAATACATATAGACCAACTTTATTTTTTTAAAGCACTGCATAACATTCCATAGTATTGGATACACCATCATTTATTTAACTATTCATCTACTGATGGATACTTAGGCTTTCTTTCTCCCTCACACAAAGTTGCAATGACAGTGTTTGTATACTTTTGTGTATATGCATCAATATTTCTGTAGGGACAATCTCTGCAATTAGAATTCTGGATCAAAATGTATACACATTTAAAATTTCAAAACATAGCTAAACTATTCTCTCAAAGTTTACATTTATACCAATTGTGTATGCAAGGGTTCATTTCCCCACATGCTCTCTCCAGCTTTGGATATTATTAAGCTTTTAAAATTTTTTCATTCAGAGGGCAAAACATTTCATCGTTACTTGTCCTATTTTTCTACTTGAAAGGGCTCCAAAGGAGCAAAGAGCATCTCGTGTTATTAATAAACTGGATTACTGGGAAACATTAAGTGTGGTTTTTTTTGTGGTTATTAATAAGGTTTCAGAAGAGGCAATGTGCTTTAGTTGTGAAATTTCATCAAAAATCTCTGTAGAAAATCCTTATTCACACAAATGTAGAGTGAAATTACTTCTGTTAATCAAGTCACAATTGATTAGTTTGTTTGATTATTTTCATGTTTTTCAGTTGTTAATTCTACATTCATTCTACACTGAGCACTGGGACATGTGTTTGTAATTTGTTAATCCTAGGACAGGACAACATGCTTGGCTTTCATTTTTGTCTTCTTTAAACATTGCTTAATGAAGTTTCTCTGACATATTGGGCTTTAATTTATTAAGAACTACTCCTTATTTTCCTCTTAAAGAACACATCGTGATCAATAGAAACTCACCATGACTCCTTATTTCTTCTTTGAATTCATATTCTGGATTCCTCCTTGAGCATTGAACGTCTGTTATATCAGTCTATTGACTGAAGCCAGGTCACTTGGTTCCAAGATCACCCTATAGATTGTTTCTTCTTGCAAGTCTTGATTTAAAAATCATTATGTCTTTATTTCACGTGAAAGAACACCATTGTGTGATGTGACTATCACCTTTGAGCTAATAGCTGTACCAATGTTTTGGTTTTGAAGTACAGCATGATGGAATATTCTGAAAGATACAAGTCATGTTGTCAACAGTGCCTTGGCTGGGCACTGTTTCCTTTCTCAAGCATGCAGCTGCCTTGTCCCTCACTCTTGTCATTGCCAGTGCCCCTGCCTTAACTCTGAACCAAACTTAACCACCAATAGAGAGTTGTTTATTTAGTCCCTTTGTGGAGAAAGAATTCTGCCTCTGGCCTTGGAAGCACAACTGACATAAATGACCCAAACCTTAAAATCAAGGAGTTTAGGTTCTAGAAAAGTTAAGTCACAAAAACATGAAGAAATATCTAACAAAGCATGGTCTCTAAAGGGCTACCCCTCCCCAGATCTAATCATGTCATTGTCCAGTGTCCCTATGATGCTATTAATGAAGCCTGAGACTGAGCAGTAATACAATGCTACTTAACAAGGTCAGCTCCTAAACTGGCTTTGGCTTGTTTTCCAATTTATAATATGTTCCTTAAGAGCAGAGTTTTCATCCTCCATTTCTTTTGTAACTCTGCTGCCAAGTTCAAGACTTGGTATACAGAGGGGGGTCTGTAGAAGCCTCAGCCCGATGGGCTGACTGTAGTACTGAAGCATTGTGGTACCAAGAAGGTCCACTTTCCATTGATCTAATTTTTTTTCTTTTCTTTTTTCATTTTCAGATTTGTGCAGAGTTTCTCCATCTTTTCTTCTGAACTGCCTGTCAGGTGAGTGAGGCTATTTCTAAGTGATAATGTAGAAATAATGAATGTTTGGTGGTTGTTTTTTTTCCCTTTCAAATTGCCCCCCTTCATTCCACATCCCTACCCCCTTAGCTGCTCTATTCTTTTTTGTTTGTTTTGTTTTTAACTCCTCACTCCCACCCACTCGGAGCCTTCTTCTCTTCAGACATTTTCTTTTCCTTGGAGATTCTACTGTTGAACCGTTTCTTCTCTGTAATCCCATTGTTTTTATGGGTACAGATTTTAAAATGACATGGTGCAGTAAAATCTGGAGGAGAGTGATCATTTATGTAGAACTCTGGGATTTTGTTTCACTGTTTCACCTTTCTTTCTCCCTGGACTGGCTTCCTTATTTCCAACAGTTCTTCTGTTTTGAAATAGACCACTGAATTGTTCTTTCTCTTACCTAAGATGTTGTGTGCATGCAGCTTCCAAAGGCCTCTTCCAACCAGATTTCTGCTCCCAACTCCCTTCTACAAAGAAATTCTGAAGCCACTGACGTGCACTCCCTGTTTCCTTTAAGACTCATAAGTAGTGGTTATTTCTGGGACTTCACTGGTATAAATAACAGAAATCTTATAACAACACAAATACTTATTATAATTATTATAAATTATAATTATCCTATTATAATTTAGTTCATAAAACACATAGTTATAATAAATGCTCATAAGTTATTGCTATAAACAATGTTAAAATACCTGTGCAGGGTCACACAGCTAGTAAATGTCCAAGCTGGGACTTGAAACAGGAGTTGGCATGGTGTAATGACAGAAGCAATAAAGGGCTCAATATTGGTGGGTGATTTGCTTTCCTTAGTACATACCTCATTTCCTCTCAAATGTGATCTCCTGATGAGATAAACCATGCACTTCTGCCCTATTCCTGCTCCCATCTCCCCAGTGCAGATCAACATCTTGAGGATGCTTTTAAGGAGAGTCTCCTTTTTCTCTCTCTACGTACTGATAGAATTGTTGTGTAGCAACAGATTTGGAAACAAATCAATTTTAAAATCTTTTTTGAGTGCTTGCTGTGGGTGGAGTTGCATGCTGTGGGAGTTAGGATGAGGTGGATACCAAGTCTATATAGAAGAAGATATTGTGTTCTGGTACCTTTTTTTGGTTTCAGGCCAAGATGAATCTAAAGCTGTTGTTTTTTTAAAATCACTATTTGGCTATACCAATGGTCAATTAATCTAAGTGGTGGCTGTGAGCTCTTGCACACAGGAGAGACATCTGTCTTGTTTATTGTATCTTGAGTCTGTAGCATAATACCTTTCATGTAATAGAACCTCAATAAATATTTGTAAACTAGATGAATGACTGCAGAAAATAATTCCAAAATCTATTTACATTTAGCCCAGGAGTGTACTATAAATTTGTCTTCTAATTATACTTGTATTAATAGCTAACACTTTTTGACTATACTAAGACCTTCAATATATTACCTAATTTCATTTCTACAGGAACCGTCTGAGGTAGATCCAATCATTACCTCCACTTTTTCAGATGAAGAATTTAGGTCCAGAGAGGGTAAGGAACAGGCCAGGGGTATACTGTAAGTGGTGGAGCTTGTATTTGAGGCAGGCATATAGCTCCACCATCCATGCTCTTGTACCCTATGCTATTCTGCTTGTTTGTGTTGTTGAATATATTTAATATGAACATTGGGAGAGGATCCTGAAGAGTGAAGGGAGAGAGATAAAGTAGACTTTCAGTTTGCCTTGAGTAATTCACACATGGGTAATTAAGAGGATGGTAGACTGCAGGCAGGACAGTGGAGACATTTGGAGATGAGTAAGGGAGTTGGAAAATATAACAATTTTCATAAGGTTGTATGAGTATTTCTTTACTTAAAGTGCATCATTTCCTTCTTGCACACCTGATATTGATTCACTTGTTTTATTGAGTAAAACTACTTTTTTTCATTAGAAAGCACTTAATGCTTATTAAGAAAATCATTTTGCACTGTAAAGACCAAACAAATCATTTTCCTTCCATTTGCTTCTAGAGATGTGAAAGCTTCATATTACAATCATCCTGTCTAGTTCACCATTGATTTTACTTTGTGCTATGACAAATGACACACAAAGCTGCCATTTGGGAGTTCATATTCAGCACTTACCAGTTAACCCAGTTTCTGTTCTGTCATGTTTAGGACATTGTTTTGTGGGGATTTTGTGTTTTTATTTGTTTGTTTGTTTCTGTATACGGGATACAGTTTATCTTACTACAGCATTGTTGGCTTTAGTTCTTGGTGACTTTATCTTCAAAAAATGTTGTTGCTGAAGTTCAAAATAATTCATTTTGTCCTATATTTATTCAAATTACCCCAATTTACAGGATTCAAAATTGCTGCTAGACATTTTTGTGAGCGTTCCAGAGAATTTTGTAAATAGTCTCACTTGATTTATAAAATGGGTAAAACTGTGAGGACTTTCCTTGTCAGGTTTTGGCACCAGGGTTATGCTAGCCTGGTAAAAATGAGTTAGGCTATGCTCTTTCGCTAGGTTTTGAATTCTTGTGAGATTGGAGTTCTTATTTGATAGAAGTACCAGTGAAAATATCTGGGTCTGGAGTTTTCCTTGTGGGAAAATTCTTGAGACTTTTAATGATTATATGTTTATTCAGGTTTATTCTTTCTTCTTAGTTCCTTCTTGGTAAGTTATATATTTTTTTTCCTAAGAATTTGCCCATTTCTATCTAGATTTTCAACATTAATAAAGTTGTCCCTGCCCTAGCTAGTTTTGCTCAGTGGTTAGAGTGTCGGCCCACGAACTGAAGGGTCCTGGGTTCGATTCCTGCCAAGGGCACGTATCTCAGTTGCAGGCTCAATCTGGGTCCCAGTTGGGGCACGTGCGGGAGGCAACCAATAGATCTGTCTTTCTCACATCGATGTTTTTCTTTCTCTCTCTCCCTACCACTCTGTCTCTCCCTACCACTCTCTCTGAAAAGCAATGGAAAAAATACCCTCTGGGGAGGATTAAAAAATAATAATGATAATGATAAAATTGTCCCTAAGATACTTTTATCATTTTTATGCTTATAGCACCTTCAGTTATGTTGCTTTTTAAATTCTTTCTATCGGTTATTTGTTTACACTCTTTCTTTTCCTCACCCTCTTTCCCTCCTTCCTCCCCCCCTCCTAATTTTGCCAGAATTGTCTTTACAAAGATCAATCTTGGCTTTGTTAATAACTTTTGTTTTATATTTTTACTATATCATTATTTCATGCTTTTATTTTTATTATTTCCTTTCTTCTCATTCTTTGGGTTTATTTTGCTGTTCTCTTTCAAACTTCTCGAGAAGGAGCTTGACTTATTAATTTTAAGCTTTTCTCTCTTTCTAATATGTACATTTAAAATATAAATTTCCCTCTAAAGATCTTTAGCTTTAGCCCCATGTTTTGATATATGGTGGTGTTATTATAGATTAAGTCAAATGTTTTCTAATATTTGTTATGACTTCTTCTTTGACACATAAGTTATTTGTTAAATAACAATTGTGTTGTGGTCAAAGAACATTCTCCTTTCCTTTTTCCAATTTTGTAAAATGTTTCTGAGACTTTTCTTTTTGGCCTTGTTGGCTTTCATAAATATTCCATGTGCACTTGAAATGATTATGCACTCTATGGTCTCTAAGTCAAGTTGGTCAAATATTGGAATATTCTATATCCTTAGTGACTTTCTTATTTGAATTTTATCTATTGCTGATACAGATGTGTGAATATCTTTCAATATGATTGTGAATTTCTTCTATTTCTCCTAGATTTCTGTAAAAAATAACTGCTTTGTGTATTTGAGGCTATATTATTAGTTGCATTCACATGTAAATTTGTTCGGTCTTCCTATTGAATTGAACATTTTATGAATGAACCATTTGATTTATAGGTAATGCTTTTTGCTTTGCTTTAAAGTATAATTTGTCTGATATTAGTATAAACATTGATTTTTTTAAATTAGTATTGACATTGCATATCTTTTTCATCCTTTTATTTTCAAACTTTCTGTATCATGTTCTAGTTGTACCCTTGTAAATAGCATATGTAGCATATATAGTTGGATTTTTAAATTTTTCTAGTCTGATAATCTTTGCCTTTTAATTAAATCATTTGATCCATTTATATTTAGTGAAGCATTGATTTGTATTGTGTTTAAATTACCATCTTCTATTTTTCCTAATCATTCTTTATTTTTCGTCCTTTCTTTCAGATTAACTAAATATTCTAAAAACCATTTCCCCTCCTCCACTAGTTAGGCAGTTATATACTTCACTTCTATTTTTTAGTAGCTACTACAGAAATTACAGTGTCTACTGAACTAGGATAATATAAGGATTTTGGAGGACTAATTCTATTTTTTCATTTCCTAATTGAGATATATTATTTCCTATATTATATAATATAGTTGTCATATTTTTATTCTATCATGTTTCACTTATCTCTGTAAGATATTATTAATGTTTTATATGGTCAGTTCATTTGGATTTACTAATATATAGTACCACCCTTAGCTCTGGGCAATTGGGGTCTTTGGCCTGTGTCTCATGCTTTATAGGTCCTCTCTCTGGCCCTTCTCTAGTCATACCCCTCTTTAAAGAACTCAAGTTTGCCTCAATAGACCTATACCCTCAGGCAAAAGCAGCTCCTTTGCATATATTACTTCTCTGAGTTCCTGCTTTAGCTTCATCTTTGGCTTGATGATTCTTTTCTGTCTTGTCAACTCTTTGATATGTTTAAAAAAATACTTTTTAAATATTTTATTGTCTTTAGCAGAAGATTTGGTCCAAATAATCTAACCTAAACCATATTCCTGGAACACTGAAAACATTTTTTTCTGAGATATTTGCTGTATCAGGGTCTTAAGAGCTCAATTGAAATTTAATTAAGCTTTTACTAAGTTTCCTGATTCTTTTTAAAAAGTAATTAAACATATAACCAAAGACTCTATTAAAAAAATCCAAAACAACCCTGAGTTTCTCTGACTTCTTTGACAGCTGAATGATCCAAGTCAATAGCTTTTTCACCCTTTAGTTCTTGCTTTATCTGAACTGAGAACCTCTTCAGTACCTCCCTTTTAAATTTCCCTTTGTGCTTGTCTTGTTAGCCAACACTTATGACTCCATGTAAATATCTCAAAGGCATAAAGTTTTCTAGAAAACTTAGGGAACAATTATCATATGTCTTATTCAAGTAAAAAAATATTTATCATTGCATTCATCATAGCAGCCATGATATAATCAATGTATGCCAGTTAACCAGAGGTAACAGAGAATAAATCTCACCCAGACCTGTCCTACAGTGGTATCAAACTATTTCCCCCTTTTAATCTTACTATTTATTCTATATCTATATAAAGATAGATTTATCACTTATTGCCATTCAAGCTTGCACTGATGATATGGATTTTTTAAAAATATGATAGTTATACTATTTAAAATAAAATCAAAGAGATCTAGAACAATTTCTTAAAGTGGTACAAGTGGGGCCATGGCATACAGTCATTTAGCTTCTGCACTATACAACCCTAGAGGTTGCCACTTACATCTAAGTCCACAACCATAAAAGGGGCCCTGGACCAAGGGGAACCTGGGTAACCCTTAATAAGAAATTGTCTAGTGTCAAGGTCTAGATTTTACTGTTTAAATGCTAGCAGATAGTTTTCTTTGTAATTGATGCTATCTCACCAGCTATCCTTAGCACTTTGAAAATTGTTAAGAACCAGTACCCATTCAAATAATTTTTAATGATGACCTTAATAGCATTGAATTAGCCCAACTAGTACCAGAAGATGAAGAAAAGTTCCAGCTGAAAAGGATTAAAGTAATTTTTATGTATAATGACTAAGAGTTTAAAAATCCACAGATTTCCCTCTTTGATCAAAGATCCTAGCGACCTTATGACCTAACAGGATGTTCTCTAGTTTATGCAAAAGACGAAAGGAGCTATAATACTTCAAATACCATAAAACTTCTCTTGCTAGGAAGTGTATATTCAGCTTTGAGGAAATATTCCAGGATTAACAACTGAAAGCAATCTTTTCAATGATGCCTGGTTTGTACTAAGTTCTTCTTGACCCATATTCTCTTTTCAGGGTGATTGCTGGAATTACCCTTCATTCTGGCCTTTCCTGCCCTCATTTGGGAGTTGAGTACAAGCTCTCTTGTGAAAAACATGGTTTATTTTGATCAGAGTCCCAAGCTCTAGCCCACAATAACTAGTCACTGTGTACCATGACTAATTTAACTGACCATATTTTGTATACCACTTAGGTCCTACCCTAGGAATTGGCAAAACTCAAGAATAATGTTTGCAGCCCTGGCCAATGTGGCTCAGTTCATTGGAGCATCATCCCATATACCAAAGGTTTCAGGTTCAATTCCCGGTCAGGGCACATACCTAGGTTGCAGGTTCAATCCTTGGTCAGGGCATGTAGAGAAGGCAACCGATCAGTGTTCTCTCACACATAGATGTTTCTTCCCCCCACCCCAAGGAGACAAATTCTCAGGAGGCTGGCAAGGTGGTAGGAGTCCCACCAAAGCAGCCAAATGACATGACCAAACCCATCTCCTAGAGCATGCTGGGACTCTTTCTTCATATGTAGAATGTGGGTTTGAGGCCAGGTGAATTCTGAGTTCCATTCCAGAAATATTCTGCTCTGATATTTCTTCCAGAACTAAAATTACTTGTGCAGTAAATCTTCTAAGTCAGCTTTATGAATTCCAGGTAGAACTGAGTTTAAAGCATTTGTATAGGAGAGGCTTTCATAGAGGTTTAGTTCACTAAATAGAGCTTTTAAAAAAGAGCAATGCTTTTGGGGGGAAACTGAGTTCAGAAATAAAATATAAATTTTTAAATTTTTAAATGAAGCTTTTTATGATATACATATAAGTGTACAATTCAGTGAATTTCAGGGACTGAACACACCCATGTAACAGAAGCCCCCTTGTGCCCACTCCTAACTTTCACACCCTCTCCCTGCTTCCAAGAATAACTGCTCTCCCAACTTCTTACTCCATCAATTAGTTTTGCCTGCTTTTGTTCCTCATACGAATGGAATCATGTACAATATGCATTCTTTTATGTCTGGCTCCTTTATCTAACATTATATTTCTGAGATTCATCAATATTGTGTGTAGCTGTAGCAGACACTTAAATTTTCCTCCAGAGAGACATTGCTACATTTTTGCACAACTATATTAGCATTCTCTTTTGAGTGACCCATTTGAGAGGGTCAATATTATGCCATTATGAACAGAGAGAGGATAAAGTGCTGAAGAGGAGTGACAGACCAGAGGCAGTTTACAGTACATTAATGTATATATCATTAATATATAATACAATTTATTGATTTTTAAAATGTAAGCCCTCTTTGGAAGGAGTAGGATTCACCTCCTGGTCTAAGACGAGGAAAGAATCACCTCCCTGCCCCCCCCCCCACCATA